ATAACAGGCTTTTTTAAGGTTCTGGGTCAGCTGACTGAAACTGGAGTTGCGAGCCCAGAGCAGTTTATCAGTGAGTATATCGTTATTTCTCGGCGTTTCCATAGAGGTTGCTGGGGACCAGAGGGTACTGATGCTGACAGCAAAGCTGCTTGGGTGTGAGGCTCCCGGCTGCCTGATGCCAGAGGGGTTTATTAGCTCGGGTCGCCTGAGGCAGCCTTTGGCACTCGGCGCTGGATCCAGTTGCAGCTCTCCCAAAGGGCTCCTTGGCTGGGACAGGCCTCAGCCGTATACCTGCCTTTGAGACTGAGCTTTAGATGCCTGGCAGAAGGGACTACTAGGTGGTGGCTTGTTTCGGCTGAATGATTGCAGCACCGGTAGCGAGGCAGAGGCTCGCCTTTGATCATAGCTCAACAGCGTCCTGTGCCTGCTTCGCTGGTTGGACTGAGATGTAAGAAGGCTTAGAAGCGCTGCCACCTTCGTCGTAGTGCCCATCTGCAGAGGCGCTGGGGAAGGAGGGTTCTCTCGGCAGCCAAGGAAAAGGCATTTGTTTAATTTCTGCTTTTTCCTGGTTCTGTCTCTGGGTTAGTCTGACCCCGGGGCTTTCAGGTTCTGGGGTCTTGGGCACGTCTTCCTTGTGATCCTGAAGCCTGCAGTGATCTGCATTCAGAATCTGTTGCAAGGGTTAAGACTTCACAGCAATTTAATCTGAGATTAACGGTGACTGTTCCGCTGTCTGTCTGCTCCCACAGAAACCTTTGAGCACATGAAGAGATCTGGAGATTACTACGTTACTGTCGTAGAAGACACAAATCTTGGACAGATTGTTGCTACGGCAACGCTGGTTATAGAACATAAGTTCACTCACTCCTGTGCAAAGGTATATTCTCTCGCTGCAGCTGTAAAGTGAGGAAAAAGGTCTGGCCCTCAGACTCCGTGCATTTTATTTTTATGGTGTTCCTGTGCGATGAAGTACCTTCTGCTGAGTCAGTGACAAAGGCACTTTAAAAATATCTCCCATCCTTGGGTGCTCAGCTAAACAGTAAAAGGAAGCTTTGGCTTTTCTTAAGGAAAAAGAGCAACTCGATGTCTGTCCCGTTCTCCCTCCCAGTGAGCTTTTGAACTAGCCAGGCTTGGTTCTGACGGAGCAGGTGGCTGAGGATCTCGCTGCTGTGGAGTCCCGGCTAGGCGTGTGAAAACAGGGAGCTAGGGAGAGAGAAATCCCTCAGCGGGGAAAGGCTGCGGTGGGACTGCGGCTCCTGCTGGGCGCTGGAAGGGGCGTTAGGAGCGTGTCGACCGCTGGAGGAGTTGTATCGAAAGAGACAGCAGAAAACCCAAGCGTGAAACGTAGCGCAGTAGGGGAAACTGACACAAGGGTGTTCTGTTCGACTAACGCTTGCCTGTATCTTCACAGAGAGGAAGGATAGAAGATGTAGTAGTAAGCGGGGAGTGCCGAGGAAAGCAGCTCGGTAAACTGTAAGTATTTCGCCACCTTTGCCATTCGGCACCAGGCAGGGCAGCAAGCCCTCACCCAGCTGGTTTCCGTCCCCCCCGCCTTACCGCGCTGGCGGGTGCCAGCAAAGATCGCTCGCCAGACCTCCGAGAGCGGGACCGTAGCTCCGCGGGTTAGCGGCCGGGCAGATCCTCCCCGGCCAGGCAGGTTAAAAGAGCTTGGCCAGCGCTAAGCTGCCGGCACTAGCTGGCAGAGAGCAGGCCGAGGTTCTTAAAACAGTAACATAAAATTGTCCGCAAGATGCTGGTACTTTGTTCTTCTTTTTTTTTTTTCCTTGGGATAGCAACTGTCGCATGCAGTGAAGGAAAAGGCAGAGTGCCGTAAAACTTCGGTATTGTAGGTCTGATGACTTCAGCTAATTGAACGTCAATCGATCCGGCGTTCCGGGCCGTTTCATTTAACTGTTGGTTTCCTGTCTTTTTCAGATTAACGTCCACCCTGACATTGCTAAGTAAGAGACTGAACTGTTACAAAATTACGCTTGAGTGTCTGCCAAAAAATGTGGATTTCTATAAGAAGTTTGGCTATTCGGTATCTGAAGAAAACTACATGTTTCAACGGTTCTTTAATTAAAGAACTTCTAGTCTTTTTTTCGTAAAGACTGTTGGTGGAGGAGCTTGTGCTACAAACATTCTCTTCATGGAAAATTTATATAGTTTATTGCTGCAAATATAACGATCCCTATAAATAATGAACATCAAATGTGTAAATCCTGCAAAAAAAAAAAAAGAAATTATTGGTGTTTTAGAAGGGTCCTTTGGGTTAGGAAATGAGTGCTTAGAACTAATTTTTACTACTGTTCAGTCTAAGTGAAGCTTTTTTTGTTCTAGCTGAGTTACAAAGGACTCTTGTTAAAGGGATGGTTTTTAACCAAAAGTATATATTTTTATCTGAAATTTTTTCTTGCATTGTATTTTTCTAAAGGTTTGTGCTTCTTTTCTTGGTAGCCAAAGTACAGCCCGCGGGATTGTTCTCCTGTCTGTACTTCACGGAAGGCTGACGTAGCTCGGGTAGGGATGATGCTTCTTTCGCGCAGAACTAGTGACCCAGCGTGGGCGTTCGTTCCGTTCTTTCCGTGAAAGCTCACTGAAGTGCTGTTGATGTTAGCGTACCTAAAGTTTTATAGGCACTGTTTTCCAAAACCGAATTTGTTAACTATTCGTGCGGGTAGGGGCTATGCTAAAGCTGATGTTCCGAGCCTAAAAATGGATGTGTACTTCTCACTGCAGGGGTCCTGCACTTTAGCTGATAACTTACTTTGTTTTCAGGATAATTACTTGTTTTCTGACACAAAAAAAAATAACCCGATGGCTTGCGACAGGGCGAAGGTGACTGGGAAACTGGAATGTCTGACAGACAGAATACAGCCCGTCGTAGCGGGGCTCTGGCTAGCACTCAATGGGAATGTGATTTGGGATTGGCAGTTAATGCCTGCATCTGTAAGAAGGCAGTAACGCATTCAGCTTCGCCCAGCGCACCCGGCTGACTCGCTGTACTTGAACCCCCGAGGGCCAGGTGGGCTGTGGTTTTGCTGGTAACGGCTTATGCCTACGGCGTAGCGAGCCGGCAGAGGAATCCCCCCATCCCGGTCCCGAGGGGTTGGATGCCTACGGCGTAGCGAGCCGGCAGAGGAATCCCCCCCATCCCGGTCCCGAGGGGTTGGATGCCTACGGCGTAGCGAGCCGGCAGAGGAATCCCCCCATCCCGGTCCCGAGGGGTTGGATGCCTACGGCGTAGCGAGCCGGCAGAGGAATCCCCCCATCCCGGTCCCGAGGGGTTGGATGCCTACGGCGTAGCGAGCCGGCAGAGGAATCCCCCCCATCCCGGTCCCGAGGGGTTGGCGCCGCTTTGCGGCATCCCTCTTGCTGCAAGATCGGATGAATGATTTTTAGCACTTTTGCCAGTGATGGCAAGCAAATAACGTACAAAGCCCTGGCTCCAACAGTAGCGTTTTGTGCGGAGAGAGGGACAGATCCTACATCTATGAATAGGGCATTATAAATACGTGAAGGTTCGTACAAAACAGCCAGTCTTGTTCGTGAACAGTTAGGCCTTACAAAATGTTCTTTCACTGTGGTGTGGAGAGCTACTTTAAGCTGTGGTGGGGGTTCTATTTAATGTTCCTGATGGTACTCCACTCGATATAGTGTTTCCTTGGTGATGTCTGATTTATTTATTATTTTTAAAGAAAAAAAAATAATCTTTGTTTAAGCTGAATAAATGAAGACTGCCAAACGTATCCGGCCCGTTGTTCATGTTGCTGTGTTGTGGCTAGCGGTAGGTATCCAGAGTCAGTGTGTACCTGTCGTCTTTCAGAACGGTACCGCCTGCTGCACATACACTTGTCTTCCTTTCCCTAGACCGAGGAATGCTTTTTGAGACTCCGTATCGATTTTAAGCGTTGTGTCTGATGGCCGTTTGCATCCTTGCGAGTACGACTTCTACCAAGCAGGTCTTCAGAGGAAATTCTCGGCTTGTCCTGGTGCTGGAGCCTTTGCCTGCGGGCACAAATCCCCGCCCCGCAGCCGGAGGCGTGCATCCAAACAGCTTGATGGCTTACAGACGGGGGGCACCAGCCCAGGGCTGCCGGGAAAGCAAGAGCGGAGCCACGGCCGAGACCTGCATGTCTCGGAGCCAGGCTGAAGTTTCTAACCCGCTCGTGCCCCTGAGAGCTGCGGTTAGGCCGAGGCACCCCATTTTCTTAGGGGTGTTCTCCCCTGAGGGAGAACTGGGCTTCTCCCAGATGTGCTCCGCTGACAGGAGATTTAAGCGGCTTGAGCTCCAACTCTGAACTAACTGTCTAAAATCAGCTACTGATTTATGCTGAGCCCAAATGACTGAGGTGGATTTTCTTGCCTCTCACAGTTTTAATTAATTCTGAATTTCCACTAATTTCAAGCGGATGATTTGAATTCCATGATATCTACACCATCTAAATAGCTCCAGGCCCTCGTTAAGAGTTAACAGAGAGATTAGTGCAAGTGAGGAGCAGGTGATTGTGTACCCAGCTTAGATCATCGTAAAACAAATGAATTGGGTTGAAAGCTCGGGTTTATGGCTGCAGGATGATGCCTCTGCTGGGAGGAGTCGGGCTCATCGGCCCCCCTTTAGCTTTGAAGAGCTCTTTGTTCTGTCCCAGAGGTGCCATTCCCAACCCCTGTGGAAACAGCAGTTGCAGCAGCTCTGTGTTGAGGGAGGAAAGGCGCTGGCGCCTGCTGCCTCGCAGCTGGTTAACGGCGAGGCTGTCAGGAATTCCCCTGAAGGGAGACGGGACTGGGTGTATTTTACTGGAGGAAAGGGTTGTTGCGGGGGTGAGCTGCGGGGCAGAACCGGGCCGGTTAGCAGCAGAGGTCCTGGAGGTGTCGGCTGGCAAACACGCCGAACGCGCTGCCAGGCCTGGTAAAGGGGAACGTCGCCGCAAAGCGCGGGCAGATGCAGTCCCCAGGCTGGGGACTGACTTACAAACGCCCCAGCCAGAACGCCTAGTACGCAGGTATTTGTATTTTAAACGGTCACCGTTCACAGGCACCGGGAAAATGCCACAAATAACAGTATTTAACAGCAACAGGTGCTATTAAAATACATTATGCCTCTCCTAAAGGGAAGAAGCCCTGTTAATTTATCTACAGTACAATTGGCTCAACAGGAAAGAGCAAGACCTGCCCCTCGCAGGGACCAAAGGAACCAAGGATCTTGTCAGAAATCAACCGTAACATAACTACCAGCTTCTCCAGAGGTTTAGCGTTACCTCCTCCTCAGGGTTTCGGTTTTTGGGTAACAGCTTCCCCCCCCACAAGGAAGAGCTCTCCAGCTCCTTCACTCTGCTTCCCCTAAGCTGGAAAAGGGAACTTCAGCACCTTAACATACAGCTGTGGATCCCCAGGGATCTGGGTACTGCAGCTTTGTGCCCGAACCGGGGGTGGGGGGCGGAAAAAATTCAACCTAAGGCCACAGTGAGGGACCCCTGCTGCCAATTACCACCTTTGGTTTAACCCCAGAAAGCAAACAGTAGTTGAAATACCGACTGGCTGTAAGCTAAATGAGACAGATGTCAAAAAGTTTTAAATAAAAGGCTTTATAATAGATGAGGAAAACTAAGCTCAGAATCCCTTAGGATCTGAGAGGCTGTTGCCTGCAAGGCAGCAGGCAGACGGACCAGAATGGCTGGAGAAGGCAGCAGTAGGGGGTAATGGCATGAAAAAAAAAAAAAAGAGATTGGTGGAAAAATCCTTCGTCATGAAGCTTGTTAGTTTGTGAAACAGTCTCCCCAGGGAAGCAGCAGGACCCCAGTGAGGTAACAGAACCAGACTACACGTGAACAAGCCTCTATCTATCGGGGGACAGTGAGATGAATCAAGAGCGTTCTTCCATCTGCGTTTCATCTCTACCGCTTCCCCAGGGAGCGGAAATAGAAAGCGATTTTATGCAGAGGTTCTGGTTCCCATCCTTGTTTCATGGGGAGCTGGTAGCTTGCGCAGCTCCCCAAATGCTGCCAGAGAGACAGACACCCACAAGCCCCGCTGCAGCCATGCGGTAGCCTCGTGGGGTAAGCGGTGGAACGTCTGAGAATGTATTTCCCAGCAGCCCTAGAAGCATTCTTTCAAAGAGAGTCAGTCAGCAGCACACATGAAACCCCACGACCGCAAAACCAGCACTGCATGCTCAGCTGGTCAGCTTAACACTGACAAGTTGTAGTTCTTAAGGAGATAACAGCAACGCTTGCCTTTTTCAAGCTGAAAGTTTCCCAACTAAAGCATCATACCTTTCTTAAAAGATTTTTTTTCCCCTGAAGGATTTGCACCGCTCCGTCACCGACGCAGGTGGCAGAGGACAGGCGGCAGTAACGGGAAAGTGCTGCTGGACGCTGGTTCAGCTCCGCTGAAGCTGTAAACCCTCCTCACAGGCAGCACCCCAGGGCCTTCACATTCCACAGGAGAAGAGGGTTGTCCTGGTTTCAGCAGGGATAGAGTTAATTTCCTTCCTAGTACATGGTACGGTGCTGTGGTTTGGATTTAGGGTGAGAACAATGTTGATAACACACCGATGTTTTAGTTGTTGCTGAGCAGTGCTTACACTAGTCAAGGACTTTTCAGCTCCCCGTGCTCTGCCGACTGAGCAGGCTGGGGGGGCACAAGAAGCTGGGAGGGGGCACAGCCGGGACAACTGACCCCAACTGGCCAAAGGGACATTCCATACCATGGGACGTCATGCTCAGTACAGAAACTGGGGGAAGAAGGAGGAAGGGGGGGACGTTCGGGGTGATGGCGTTTGTCTTCCCAAGTCACCGTCACGCGTGATGGAGCCCTGCTGTCCTGGAGATGGCTGAACACCTGCCTGCCCATGGGAAGCAGTGAATGAATGCCTTGTTTTGCTTTGCTTGCGCGTGCGGCTTCTGCTTTCCCTATTAAACTGTCTTCGTCTCAACCCACGAGTTTTCTCACTTTTACCCTTCCGATTCTCTCCCCCATCCCACTGGGGGGGGAGCGAGCGAGCGGCTGGGTGGTGCTCGGTTGCCAACCGGGGTTAAACCACAGCAAGGGTACTGGGCTATAAAGCCGCACCCGGGTGTCCTGGCTCAGCTAAAAGCCCCGACTTCCTGCAGGAGGATTTCCTCCTCCGGTGTCACCAACATCTGTTCTAGCAGCATGCTTTAACCCAGGCAGTCGTTTTCAAACCAGGATCTCCCCAACTACTCGCAAGAGCCTTTGAACACAGGCCAAGAGCTCAGGCTTGCTCTGGAGGGGCTGCCCCCCAGCCAGCCTTCCGAGGAGCTGCGAGACAAGGCAGAGGAGCAGTGACTAAGCAAAGACCAGCAAGTCACAGGCATGGTCAGCTTGCCTTGAATACACAAAGTGAGGCAGAACTCCTACAAAGTAAACAGGCTCCTACAA